CCTCTCTTCCTTCCTCTCTCTCTCTCTCTCTCTCTTCCCAGATGGGAATAAGACTTATTCTATTCCGCTTGCCTTGAACGCGTGCTACACGAATGCGCGTATAATAAAAAAAAAAAGGTATTCGAACGATCTTTGTAGAAATGTTGCGAACAACGGAAATACAACGTGCAGAACTTTGAAAGGAAGCATAAATGTTGTATACATTTATATGTATGATGACACAACAAGTCGAAATTGTGATCTCGTTTTTTACGAAGATATAAATATTCCTATTCCAACGACAAAATTAGAAACTTTTTTAGACAAGTTGCGGATATCGAATAGATTTTAACCAGAGAAACCAAGGCGGTAATTATAACATTCCCTTCCTTCATTTGTTTAACGTTTCGAGTATTGAATACTTTTGCATATATATGTATAGATTTAGGTGGATTATCGGCGGGGCGAACCGGTTACGAAAGGCATGTAGCCCGTGTACGGAGGGTCGAACTCGATCGGAATTGCTAATTAGGCGCGTGTAAAATTACTGTAAATCGGCGAGCCGACTATTACACGTAAACAGCCTATCCTGCACGAGAATATTTCACCGTGGGGTGGGCAGAGGTTTATCCCTCGCGAACGAGATTAAAACGAAAGAGAGAGAGAGAGAGAGAAAGAGAGACGACTCGCAAACGATTTTCCACCTCGTGGACGAACGTTGGTGGATTTCGTGTTCGGTCGCCAGGGTGGCACGAACGTTCAGGTTGTTTCGAATCTTTTGCGGAGGAGAAGAGCTGAGCGAGAAGCGTTGTTCGTTAAATGCTGTGTTAAGATGGCGAGCCAAACCTGGAAAGGAAGTTCCGTGTTCCTTCGAGAAGATTAACTCCTTGTGCCGCGGTGCTTGTACAACTACGTACGTAAGGGGCGAGGGATGTTCGCTTTTTTCCCTATTTTTAACTTGAAAGAATATTCCGCGATCTTGGCTCACCGATCTGTTTCCATTCTATTTCTGTAAAGCCATCGTAAATTTTTATTTCTTCGGATCGTTGTCTCTTTTATTAGAATAGATAGATTCATTTCGCTTGATTAACTTTATAAAAAGAAGAACGCTACTGGGATTTTCATACGAACATACGTATGTATTTTCTCATATTGCACGTTTTATTATACGTTATTATATTTCCACGAGACGAAGATATTTCCAATGGTGAAAGCCCGTTAAAAGAGGGGAATTTTGCCCTTTAAAACGCTTTTCGATTTATCTCGATACGACTTTTCGCTCCCGAGATATCGTGGTGTAAAGAAAAAGGGGATTTTTAATCGTTGAGCTTAAATCCCCTTTGAAATTGGGAAAAATTTGAACCGTTGTAATTCCGAAGATAATAACTTCCGGTCAATGGATGAACGGTCGTTAGAAGCGTGGAATCTTCCTCTTTAAAACGCTCTTTCACTCATCTCGATACGACTTTTGGTTCCCGAGATATCGACGAACAAAGAAAAGACAATTTTCGATCTTATTTATCTTGAACCCTATTAAACCCAATTAAAATTAGGAAAAATTTGAACCGCTATAACTCCGAAGATAATCACTTCCGGTCAACGGGTGAGCGATCGTTGGAAGCGCGGGACCTTGCCCTTTAAAACGCTTTTTGGTTCATCTCGATACGACTTCCGGTTCCCGAGATATCGTCGTGTAAAGAAACGAGTAATTTTTAATCGTTTATTATTTTCTCCCTTGTCGCTTACTCGGACCTCTCGCTCGCACCTCGCCTCGCTGACCTATCTTAATCTCCAGACGAGTGACAGACGCGATTCCTGGAAAAAACGGTAGTACGCGTTTCCAGGAAAAAATGTAGGTCAGTGGGTCGCGGACCCATTCATAATTTCTGGCGCTTCGTTAAACTTTAAATCCTTGTATCTCGTGAACGGATTAAGATATCGGGATAAAACAAAAAGGAGTTTCAACGGCATGGCTTCCTTTATCTTTCGAATGGATTTTGATGACAAAATTTTTATATGAAAATTCGAAATTTTACTCGTGATTTTCCGCCGATATTCATATAAAACGTTCATTTCAAAATTATTAATTATCGCTATTGTGCCTCGATCCGAATTCTGAACATTCTATCTCTTTTTCCAATCCTCTTCAATTACACAATCCACGTGAATTCTCAATCGAATCATCACACCTCCCCCATAATTACCGAACGCCCAACACAACCTCGAACTTGATAGAAAACAGAACCTGAATATTCGTAATTTCAGATTCATGAAATACGTACGAATTAGATGGAAGTGGCGGTTTAATCGTGATTCCGCGTCCTTGATATCGGGAGACGCAGGCGCAATCGTTTCCACGCGCCTCCTCTTGAAATTACTATAGCTCGTTCCGTTCCTCCAGGGGCTACAAATCGTTCGAGAGTATCTAGATCTCCCGCACAGTCCTTGCTCCACTTTCCCTCTGCCCGTCCCTCTCCCTCCCCCCCTCCCCCTCCCCCCTCCTCCCTCGCCGCCCCTCCTCGCCTTTCAATTGCCGTAATTTTCGTTATAAATTTATCCCGTTGTAAAAACGTTTTATTACGCAATCCGGCCGATTTATTCAGTGGCGGCGCCGATTTCGGGGCCACGCGAGTAAATCTTCTTCGCTCGATGGATCCACGAGGGAAAATATGCGCCCCGTTCTTGAAATTACCGACGGCTACGCTTTTAGATTTATTGCGAGCTTTGATTCTGAGAAGATCCTCCCCTCCATTTTTTCCACGGTTTCGATACACACGGTTTTGATTTTTCACAATATCTTTCCTGTGACGAAAGGCTTTTACTTAGGCCGAGAATGTGGAACGTTCTTGCGCGATCTTTAATAACCTTGAGAAACTTTTTTTTCTTGAATGGGAAGAGAGGGGATAGCGTCACGATCTTTTTAATGAAAAAGATTGAAGATTTCAAATAGCCTTGGTTATCGATTAATTTTGAAAATTTCACACGTATAAGGAAAAATATCGCGACACTTTTTAAAACATCACACTAGACGGCGCTATTAATAGTAACACGCAGTCGGCGTGCTCGTTGATTGATATCTGTATTTCTCGTTCGAAAGTTTAAAAGCCTCCGGCAGACAGAGTTTCGATCCAATCCAAATCTGTTCACTCCTCTCCATATCGTTCGATCGCACGGTTTAAAATCAGTACAAGCTAATCAACGAAAAACATTTACTTATTCTCAAGTCCATCATTTTTATTTATGAACATTAACCAATTTGAACGAAACATTTACGTACCATAAATAATCATTTTCAAAGTTTTTTTTTTAAGATTTTCATTTTCACCTCGAATATCCCGCCTCGAAACTGTTTCGTGTTAATCCATCGACATGGTTCCACGAGCGAGGGAGAGTAGGAGGGGCGCGTTGCTCGATTTCGGCATTGTCCGCCGTCAAAGGGCAGGGCGGGAAAAGGGTATTTGCCGTGAAGTCGCCGCGTAAAGTGACGTATGGATGCATAAAAGACAAACATAAAGGACGTGGCGAAAGAGAAATCCTACCTGGTGTGGCTGTAGGGTGTCAGGGATGGGCCGTGGTGCTATTAGCCAGCCGTGCTTACGGGGCGCATAAGCGCAACCTCCACCTCCGAGCTACCCCGGCTTTGTCTCTGCATCCTGAAAAAGCGAGAAATAAGCGAAATGAGTTTTATGCCGTCGCGACAAAGTGCAAGCGTCGCCGAGACGACGAGTCGTTCGGCTCTGCCTCCGGGATATCGCGAAATTTATAGCATTATTCTGACCGTTGCTCGTATGGAAAGGCGTTGTTGTACGCATTCGACTCTTCGTCCAACATTTATCGAAATATTTCTGTAACTACGGAACGAAAGGAGAGAATTAATTAAACTGTGTTACTTAGAACACTAGGCCATGGAAACGTCGTGTAAACAAGTAAAGAGAATAAGGCTGGATTGATCATGTGATCACTTCGTAATATATATCCCGCGTGCAATAAAATTTAGATCGCAAGACGAAATTATTTATTCATTTATTTATTAAATTTTAAGTTTATCTTACGTATCCACGATTTAATAGAATCTCTCCAACTTTGTCTTCGCTTTCGAATCGACGTTTAACAAACGGGCCTCGGTAATGAGATCTCGAACTCGGCGCTGGATAAACAGATGTAGATCAGCGATCCATCCGTCCTCCGGCGAGCGAGGATGCTCCCCAACTCGAATGATACAACAGCAAGGAGTTTCTCCGTGTGAAATCGCGGCGATACACACCATCTTTGTCCGTCTCAAGTGCACACCTGTGTGCACGGCCTCTCTGTGGATCGATCGTTCGTCAAATTCGAAAAGCGGCGGCGCAAAACACGCGCCAAAGTTATTAATATTCCTTGCTGGTTCGACGATTTCCTATCGCGCGTAGATACTCGAGGCCCGCTTTGAAATTCAGACCGGTCGAGCGCACCTTTTTTTTTTTTTTTCGTTGTTACAACGTCGCTTTTTAGATACATGTTGAAAGTTTGATATTGAAAAAAAAAAAAAAGAAGAAAAAAGGAAACATATGAATGCGGTTGGATTGATGGACGAGAGTTGCACGAGTGTCTGGTTGGTCCAGAGCATTGATATTCGATCCGGGGATACGCGATTGAACGATATAGCGCGTTTCAACCCGAGGAGGAGGAGGCCGGTATGATCGGCGGGGAAAAATGGCCGTCAATTAGTGGCCACTGTCATTCGTTTTGGTTATACCGCGATACGAAAGGATGGTATTTTTTTTTTTTTTTCAAAAATTTCGTTCGATCGAATTTTTCCGACGTTGAAGCGAGATGATGGCGCGAGAATTTTATCGAACGAGGAATTTTCTTTTCTCTTTTGGTATGGAAGAAGAGGCTGCTTGAACGAATATTTAACCTTTGACCGTCGAATTAGAAATATATCGAAATTCTTGCTTTCTACACACACAATCACAACACACGTCGATCGTTAAAAAGTTTTAATAACTCGTCTGATAATCTCTAATAAGAAAGACTTAAACAAAACTGCCATTGAAATTATCTTAAAAATCTTGACCCACTCAGAAATCAAATCCCTATTTTCTTACGAAAATACTTGCAAACACAAAATGATTGAAACCGATAAAATTAAATTTTTGGAAGAAATTGCAAAACACCAAGAGATCGCATAAATCGAATCTTATCATCGATGATCAATTCCACGAATTGCAGCGAGCAGATGTACACGCGCTCTTTTCGTCCGCATTATCCGACGCCCCGGCTCGTAACACAATAATTCACGGCCGTTTCACTCGTCAACCCGTTATATACAACCCGGCTATATATTCGTACACCCGTTAATTGTTTTCCAAATTAATTCATATCCTCGTACAACGTGGAAACAGATCAAAGTGTGCGTGTGTATGTGTGTGGACGATGCACAGAGTCGGAGGAGAGGATCGGTTAATAACGTAGATGCAAATTAGCGCCGGCCGGTTAAATATTTTCATTGGCGGGGAGGGGACCCTCGTCGGATTTTACAATCGATTGAAAGGACAGCCGCGATTAATTAACGACAACGGTTTTCGAAAACAACGAGATTGTCTATCGTTTCTATTCGAGGAGGGGAGGTTACAAGCACGGGGTTACAAGGAAAAGTTTATATTGGATTTCATATTTAATGCAACGCGCAACGTGAGAAGAGGGAGAGTGTTGCTTTCCTCGGGGGGCAGATAAATTATTTATGCCGGGACGCTTTGTCTTTGCCCGTTGGAGGGGGAGTCTGACCCGCATCAACCGAGAATCAAGAGAATAAGGGGTGAGAAAATGGGGGGATGATTGTCGAGAGGTCGCGATAAGCTCGGGATTTAAACGGAAATCGTTGATTCTTCGGGGAAGTGTAAAAGTTATAAGTTAAACATTCTTATATTTAGTATATTTCTTTCCGGGTGGTTGATTCTTGTATATAATATTTTTTATATAATTTTAGATCAAGTAATATTATTTACAGAGAAATTCTCTGTTTCTGAATTCAGTTTTTCGAATCTAATTGGCAGAAGAAAAAGTATACGCATTGTGAAAAAAAGGAAAAATTTCAAATTTCCCGCTCGATACATAAACTTCGATTGAAACTTCGCCTCGAGTTGAGATATATCGTAATATTTTTGCAAGAGATATAAACGTATTTTTGCAGTGTAAACGCGGCATATAAAGTTCGCAAAATTACCTTGAGAACGAAGCGATAACGCTTTGGCCAAGTCAACGAGCGTCTGACGTAATAAGCCAGCCAAGCGTTCTGACGCAGATGCCCGATGACGTATCGTTCCATGCGCGGAAATTTCCAAGATGTTTAAACCCTTCTACGGATTCCGGCATTTAAAACCATCGTCCAACCTCAGCGATATTTATAATAACGAGCAGAACGGATTCAATTCTGAATGGAAGTCGTGAAAAAGAAAAAAGTCGCGAGCACGATTTTGATCGTTCTCCTAAAATTATGCGGAAAGGGAATGTTTGAAATGAAACGTTCGTGTTTTACGTGAGAACTTAATCCTTTTACGGATATCGATGAAAAAAAGGAGAAGGAAAAGAGTGAAAAAGTAAAGGGACGAGGAAGTGTAAAGCGATCGAGCAAATGAACGTGACGTTAAATGAATTTTTACGGCTTCATCGTGACTCGAAGGTCGGCACGATGATCGATCTCTTCTTGGGATGGTAATAAAGAGTTGATATTCCTCGAAAACGACGTCAATTATCCTGAAGTGTCGTCGTTAATGGTCTGCAAGTGCTACCCTTCCGTGTAATGGAAGGCTCGAAAGTCGAATTTCAGATATTCTGCTAATTGATACTATGTTTCTTTCTTTCTTTCTTTCTTTAGTTAATTAACAGGAAATTTTCTGATTTCTTTTTTTTTTTTTTTTCATACAAAATCGCGAGAATGAAATTTTTATTTCGTACGAAGACTTTAATGGAATAACGAAGAAAGAAAAATTTAGGAAAAAAAAAAAAAGAATTTGTCGACGAAGAAAATATTTTTATATTCACGAATATTAAGAATATTATTATAGAAATAACGAATAACGAATATAATTAATATAAATCCAGAGGAAATATGGTTCAGCATTATATTTCAAAAATTCTTATTCTTATTATTTTTATATACGATTCGTATTCATCACATAAATAAGACGATATTTGTATCGCTGCTACGAAAGAGCTGCTTCTAGCTGAATTGAATAAATTTGAAATGTAGACGAAGAATTACTATTCATATACTGAAACATTTCTGAAAATTTATGGAATCTAGATTAGCCCACTTCGAACGAATTAATTTCGTAGTTTGGTCGACGAGATTTCTTCAACATTCCTCTCGTTACTATCGTTGCCCTATCTTTGATGACGTCGACACTTTGATTATGTGAACAGATACTTCTGTCTTGGGGGTTTTCCTTTCTTTCGAGACGACGCGACAGACAATGGAAACGATTCTCACACTTACACACACGATGAATGGAGTCGTTGATAATGAATTATAATTCATTGATAATCGTCTGATGCGAGCAAAATATAATTAAAATTGTCCTTTGTTCGGTTTTTCCTCTATTACTTCTCTGATTTTTTCTTTATCCATTTTCTTATCCATCGCTCGTGTATCTTTCCATCTCAAATTTTTTAATCATAAATTGATACTGATCCTAAATGGATAGAGAATCTCCAGTGAGATGTTTATGAATTTATGCTTGATTATATCCTCGAAGTTTCCTCTGAAGTTTAATCCACTCTTCTTCATTTTACAATTTTATTATTTATTTATCTGATATTTTAATATCTACATGGACTCGTTCACTCTTCAAACTTCAAATTGAACGATGTATGTAACGACAAAAATCAATATAAGAAAAATCTTTTGATTAGATTCTCCAAACATGTAACTTCTTATCTATAATGTATCTTGTTATTATCGCGATATTACCAAGCAGTCTACTCACCCTAATTTTTTTAGATTATTCAGTTATCAAATGAATCATCGAACGCGATAAGTTACAATTTTTTCTTTCCTTCCCTTATTATGTACAAGACAAAAGTTTGATTAGACAAAGAGTTATCGCGATCCAAGTTTCTTATACCTATTTTCGAAGTCATTCACGATAAACTTATAAGAAATTTCAACGTTAAATTTTCCAAACGAACACTCATTTAAGTTACTGGAGGCTGGAATGTTATAACTTCCAAAAATATCCTTCTTCGAACTAATTCAACTAATCTGAGACTAACTTTCCTCCAAAAATTGAAAAGAAGAAAATAAACACACGTCGATAATCACACTCTTCCCAATAAACTGTCCTATTATTCCGTTTAAATTCTCATCATTATCCAATTTATCAAACTCATCAAAAAGGAAAAGAAAGGAAAGGAAAGGAAGAAAAAACCTTTATCATTTTATCAAACAAACTACTTTCCGCATTTTCTAGAACAAGTGCTTACCGCGTAACAAAGTAAAAAAAAAAGAAAAAAAAGTTAAACGCAATTCACCTTGAGAGATTACAAAATTCCTATCAGAAGAGGCTCGTAAGCACCGGTATACAACTGTTGGTCGAGGTCGATTATCAAGTAGGTCCGGACGTTCGAGCGTGCCCGAGGCCTGACAATAAACGGCCGCGACTACTTTCTCCCC